TTATCATCATTCATATAGGATTAATTTTTAGGTAATATATGGTTGTTCTTAAGATAGATAGATAGAGAGAGATAGATAGATAGATAGAGAGAGAGAGAGAGAGGAGAGAGAGAGAGAGAGAGAGAGAGAGAGAGAGAGAGAGAGAAGAGAGAGAGACAGAGAGAGGGGGAGAGAGAGAGAGGAGAGGAGAGAAACAGAGAGTGAAGGAGAGACAGACAGACAGACAGACAGACAGACAGACAGACAGGCAGACAGCCAGACAGACAGAGACAGAAAATGAGAGAAAGAGAGAAATAAATAAATAGAGAGTGAATAAAAGGGAGAAAGAAAACTAAATTCGTTCATGTAAACACTCGTCTCACCCTTAGCTTCCATAACACGAGATAACAATATTTCAGGATAATAACAGGTTGTCGTCCAGGCATTTTCTACTTTATTCCGCATGTTAACAACATTTATTGCTGAACTGGGCTTCACCTTAAGCCTACGGTCAAGCTGAAAGAGTACAGGATAATCCACTGTATTAGCCAATGTAATACAATAGGTCAGTGTACAACCTAAGCTTGTAAATGTCAAAAAATATTTGCAATGTGATTATGCAATGTGAGTGCCTACATATTAAAAATCAATAATATCATATTTACAAAGTCGAAAAATAAGAGTCTTCAAGAGTCCAATGAAAAAACATTATTAGTAATATTATTACTGTATCGTTAGCATACAAATATTTTGATTTTTTTTTCACACGTTCCTCTCCATCGCAACTGTTTCGTGTTGTGAACTGTGTCGCCAGGGAAGAGGACTCACACGATAGGAATGAGTGAATGATGACTTAATATACATATTTAGATAAATCGATAGATAGGGCGAGGAAGAGACAGATAGATAGATAGAGAGAGAGAAGAGAGAAAGAGAAATATAAACCAGTGTTTATATTTGCTTGAATTCCTCGTCCTCCATTTTTTATTATTATTATTATCATTTCTTCTTCGTTTTTCTTCTGGAATATCTTGGAAAGGAAGAGCGTCGATAGCATAATCTTTATTATTTTTCCTTTTTCCTTTTTTTTCTGTGTCTCTTTTCCCGTGTACGTGGAGGGGGAGTTTCCACTGTCTGACCTTCTTATGTAAGTGATGTGTACATGCATGAAGCAGAAAGGAAGACGCTCATGGTATTTTTATCTTTATCCACAATAAACCTTTGTATATTTCACTGACAATGCCATGTCTCAAAACAATTGATAAATTACTTTATTGGGGACTAGGTAATGATTCTCTTAATGTGAAATATTGATATGGGTACAGTACAATAAGCATTTTTTTTTAAAGATGAAGATATATATTTCTTTCCAAGAGAACGTTATATTATTTCATACATTACCTCGCCTGCAGACAGAGATCCAGACATCTCATCTTATCATACCATTATTTTTTTTTTTCTTCATATCGGATTTTCTTTTTTCTTGCTTATAAAATTCTTAATGACGTTATTCAACTTTCCTCGTGTGTTATGTGGTAATGGAGATTACTCAGAAACATTTCCAAGGAGTTGTTTCTCTAAAACTTTCTCGGTGTGTGATGATGAGAGAGATTCTTCATAATATTTTTTTTTCTGTAAAAGGAAGCACAGCTGAAGAGAAAAGAAAAAAAAATCTGGTATCATTTTTCATTTTCGATCCTTCATCTCTGGAATACGGAAGATCTTCTGTATGCTCTGACAATACGTATCTTTTTTTCGCTAACAATGCGTATTGTCATAGTTACTGTTATTACTCATCGTCCATAAAGATTGATTTTGAGGATATCACTTTTCTTTTCAAGTAATTTGTGTCATCTCTCCTGCGTCCATAGTCGTGTTCATTTTTATTTATCAATCTCTTTATTTATTTATCATTTTATTTATTTATTTATTTATTTTATTTTCATTTTTTTATTGTTCACTTTGATATTCACACTGTTTGAAATAACGTCCAGTTTTCCACGTTTTGTCACAACACACAACACAAGACGAAAACTTTTTGTTTAAGTTATCCCTTATCTTGTGGACATCAGCTGATACTAATACGAAAAGTACGAACTTAACGATTTCCTTTATATTTTTATCCCCTTTTCCTAGGGGAAGTAAAGAGAGAGATAACGCCCCTCCCCCTCTCCCCTTTACGTAGAAATGATAGAAAGGTCGATTCTGTAAATGAAGGGAAGAAAGCAAAAAGATATACATATACATTACTCTACGACAGACAGACAAGTGACAATTGTATACAATACCTAAGACCAACAGATTCTTGGGTAAATATGACACAAGAAGAAAAAGCGTCCTTTGTGTTTCGTTCTGGAAAACACTCAGACAAAGAGATCCATTTAAGTAACAAATATATTTTTTTCTCTTTTTTTTACGGGTTTGTTTTGGGTTATCATTTCATCTATATTCCATCCTTTATTTTGTTTATTATTATCATTTTTATTATTTGTTTTTGGGTCGTTTTGATTTCACTTCAAACCGATCGCAATAAATTTCGAAGCTTTCATGTTAAGAATATGGTATTAATGGTGAGATATTGGTTCTAAGAATAAGCTTATGGAATTGGATTAACTGTAATTAAATTACTTACATATCTGGATGAATATAACGAGCGGGTGGGAAATAATAATGATAACATGTTAATGCTATTTTGATGAACCGCAATATATATCATAACGTGATATATGGTGATATTAGGAAGAATGAATGGATGTAATGATACTAGACTAGACAATGATGTGAATGACATACGATGATATGAATGGATGATGATGATGATGAATGATGATGTGATGATGATGATGATGAATGATTTGATAATTGCAGATGATGGTGATAAATACAAGTAATAAAAATAAGTAATAACTAATAAAACGATAATAAATGCATGATATTAGGTAACATAATTGATAATGATAGAAATAGTTGATAATAATGAATGATAAAGAAAATAATAGATGATAATAAATAAAATATAATAAATAAAATAATAATGATACAATAAATAACCAATAAAAGGATAATATGAATCATCATCATACATCATCATTATTCGTTGCTACTATCATATTACCATTCCACATGATATTCACCATCATTTTTTTTCATTATCTAAGCAATTACATTAATTGAGATATTAGTACCATCATTCCCATAATTATCTTGATTTTCTACCAGTTCCTATTACCAAATTAATTAAAAATTATCAATAAGAATAAATAAAAAACAAAGAAAAAAACAAAGTACGACATTTTGGTAGCGTAGATAATTATATTAATACTAGTCTGATTACTTTATATAAAATTTACCCTAAAGACGATCTCATTCATGTGTTTCTTATCTCTTAGTGTATTTCGTGTTTCAATATTATAGAGGTAAGAATGATGATGATGATGATGATTATAATTATGGAAGATTAATGCTATTAATAATGAGATGAGGGGATATGAACAATGAATAAGAATAAATGTGTATGATGATGTTTGATGTTGATATGATGATGATGATGGCGATTTATGGCGATGATGATGATGATGATGATGATTGATGATGATTGATGATGATATGATGATGATGATGATGATTGATGATGATGATGATGATGATGATGATGATAGTAATAATATAATAATAATAATAGATAATAATAATAATAATAATAATAATTAATAATGAAATAATAAATATAATGATAATGATAAAATGAGAATATATACTACAATAATAATATATAATAATAATAATAAATAAAATATAATAATAAAATAATAATAATAATAATAATAATAATAATAATAATAACGATAATGGTTATGGTAATGATAATCATAGTCACGATCATAATCATGATGAAGTTCCATTATTATCATTACTATCACGATTAATCTTAAATTATCGTTATTGGCTTATTTCCCTCATCCCAAAATATGTTTTTTTTTGTTTGTTTTTAATTGATAATAATTAATAATTCTTTTCGCTGTTTTACTGTTATTATTAGTCTTAAAATATCAGTTTTATTTTCATGGATTAATCAGGTTTTGCACTGATATCTGTTTTTGTTTTTTTTAGAATACCCATTTTTCACTTAATGGCGAAGACTGAAAAATATTGATGAGTGTTCTTAAAAGACGGAATTGGAAAATAATGATAATAATTTGGAATATGATCATAATGATAATGATGTAATAGTAATAAGATTATCACTCCATTAGTGATAGTAATAACAATGATGATGATGATGAAAATGATAATCATGATGGTAATTATGATACTGCTATAGTAATGCTGATAATGGTTATTATGATAGTATTAATGGTGATGATAATTGTAAAGATGAAAGTAGTAATAATAACAATGAAATTAATGATGATGGTGATGGTAAGGATAAAGATAATGATAATAATGATAGAATAATAATGATGATGATAATAGTAATAATAATAATAATAATAATAATAATAATAATAATAATAATAATAATAATAATAATAATAATAATAATGGTATTGATAATAATAATAATAATATTGTTAATAAAAATAATAATTATCATTATTGTTATTATAATAATGATAACAGTATTAGTAATAATGATAATGATAATTATAACAATAATAGTAACAATAATAATACACTCATAATTATAATCATGATCATCATCATTATCATAATTATAATAAAAAGGAATATAATGATACTACTAATGATTATTATAATTACAATTATAATAAAAATGAATATAATGATAATAATATCATTAATAATGATAATAATAATAATAATAATAAAGTCTCAGAAATATCACCGACAAGACAATGATAATCACAATAAAAAATAACAGTGAAAATAACAATAACAATTATCTTCAAAACTTTCCTAACATGATTTCTCTTCCTCTTAAAAGTGCAAGAAATACCAGACCATTAACAAGATATTCCTTTTTTTCTTTTTCTTTTCCTTCTTTCTCTCTCTCATTTTTTTTTTTTTTTTTTTTGTCGAAGATCAGAAATGACAAGCTGTTCTTGAAATTTTCTACATAAAGGATATTGCTTGCTGGAAGAACAACTTTTAACATTTTTCTCTTCATGAAATATCTCCAAGACGTTCAAGAACATTGTACATTGTTCATACTTTTCTGTTCTTTTGCTTTTTTCATACATTTTTGTCTTATTTTCTGAATAGTCTTGACAGTGTGTAGGAATATATGATTTGCTTTCCAAAAAAACTTCTTTTGTGGATCATAATTGTCTATTTAGTAATATGATTTTTCTGTACATTTTTATTCATTTATTCCATGATAAACAATACATTTTTCTCATGCACTGTTTCCCACGGCGAGCAATAGGTTTCACGGATGTATATTTTCTTGCTATTTTCTTGATATTGTCTTGATATTGGGATTAAAAGATATGTCGAGCTTGATATGTGTTCTTTGGAAGTCGACTGTTGTGAAGATTGTGAAGAATATTCTTTCAGTATTACTACCTCCATGTATTAGCTGAAAAGAAAAAAAGAAAGGAAAGATTATTAAAAATATTGTCACTATCATAGTATCTGTTATTGAGGTCATTAGATATATTTGTGTTGGAATACACATTATTATGTCACTATCATAATATTTGTTCTGAAAGTCATTCAATAAGTATATGTCTTGGAATATATATTATTATAACTTTTGGTCTTCTATTTATATTTAATAGTTAATATTAGATATTTAATAGTTAATGTATAATAGTTAGTATATAATAGTTATACATAATAGTTAATATTAGATATATAATAATTGATAGTCATGTTCATATGTCAGGAGTGAAATGTATTTTTTTTTTTTTTTATTCCATTTGTGAAGCTCTTTGATAAAGTATTATACATATACATAGATGTTAAAAATTAGAGAGGGGGGAGGAGACATGCAAATACAGTATGCAAAAGTAATGTAAATGATATAAAATATATAGGATAATATATATATATATATATATATATATATATATATATATATATATATATATATATATATATATATATATTCGTACCTTAACTAAGAGCTTCTCTTTTAAATATCACGAAATTCCAGACTTATACCTCTTTGGTCATAAACACATTTTACATTTTCGTATTTTTAACCGAGTGTAACAGCGTCGTAAGCCTATTGGCGCTGTTTTAGATATTATGCATTAATGGGCGGCCGAGTTGGCTGTAATGGAAATGCTAAATATTTAACTTTAATCATTCGAATTTCATGAAAGCATTTTCAATTGCAAAAACAAACGTGGGGAATGTTGATTCATTTTTTTCTTCTTCTCTAGATATCGGTTGATTTATTTTTGTTTTGTTTATTTCTCTTGAAAGTGAAACAAGTGTTGTTTTTTTATGAATTTATAAATAAAATGCTTAATGAATATTCATGTCCTATTATTGTGAGTCTTTTGGCGAATAGGAAACAGAACAGAACAAAAGAAAGAGAGAAGCAAGTAAGGTTTTAGTGAATTCATTTCCCCAATTGTCGTTTTACAATGAATTAAAAAAAAAAAAAAAAAACGTTCTCTAATTATACAAAACGAAATGTTGAAAAAAATAAAAAGCAAAAAAATAAAACAGGAAAAGAAATACACATCAATTGTTAAACGTCAAATTAATCTCATGAAAAAGGCTCTTGCTTTGTATTGCACATAAGAATGGAAACAAAAATGGCCCGAATAGAAAGTTGCAGATTTCGTCAACATTGCACACGCGCCCACAATACACTGTATCTCTCTGACCCCCGTGAAATAATACGTAATAATAAGTGTAATATAAACATAATACCACGACAATTGAAGTTGAATGTCTTTTTATAATACAGCTGTCTACATGATTAATGATATGACAAAAAAAAGCATCCATATTGCCACTGAAATGATGATGATAATACAAAAAAAAAAGAAAATAATAATAATAATAATGCTGAAATTAAGACTGATTTAAAAGATAAAAATTGATAAAAAAGATTGATGATAATGGTACTACGACTAATAATAACGATAATATTAATTGTGATAATGGTAACAATATATTATACTAATGATGATAATAATAGCGATAGTACTAACATCAACAGATAATATTAATGATAGTTATCATAAATATTATTATACTATATTATTATCAACATAATTATTATTAGATTAAAGATAACAGTGGTACAGTCAGACTTATCCCTATAAATAAAAAAAAAAAAAAACACGTAGATTAGATAGAGGAATAAAACACAAAAACCTCTAAATGACAACACCAAAAGCGTAATCACAACCGTTCCAATATACAAGGAAGTTCACTCTATCGCTTAGAGTGTCGCCGAATAAAACCCCACTGACCGGCGAGAGAGAGAAAAAAATGCCACTTGGGTAAAATGCCGATTAATTTCGTAAAAGAAAGAGACACGTGACCTATTCCTCGAAGGATTGGGATCGACGTCGGGATCGAGGTTGTTTGGGCGGGAGGGTTATGATTGTTGTATGTATATGCACACTCACGCATACACGCACACACACACACACACACACACACACACACACACACACACACACACACGCACACACACACACACACACACACACACACACACACACACACACACACACACACACACACACACACACACACACACAATGTGCGTGTTTGCATGTGTGTATGGGTTCCTTTCCATCTATCTAACACATATACGCATATACATATCTTTCTATTGATCTATCAGTGTATCTCTCTCTCTCTCTCTCTCTCTCTCTCTCTCTCTCTCTCTCTTGTATATATATATATATATATATATATATATATATATATATATTATATATATATATATATATATATATATATATATATATTATATCATATATATATTATATATATATATATATATATATATATATATATATATATATATATATATATATATATATATATATATATATATATATATATATATATAGTATATATATATATATATATATATATATATT